CACGGTGCGCGCTCGGGGGCCGCGGCGCCCAGCGCCGGGGCGCCGCCAGGCAGACCCCTGCGCTGCGAGGTCCGCCCAGGACTGGGCAAGGGTAGAGACCCAGCCTTCCTCCGCAGAGAGCGAAATCCCATTTCAAAATTGCTAAACTGTGGGGGAAAATGAAGGTGAGACTTTCCCAAAGCATCCTAGGTACTGTGGAAGGAAGCGCCACTCTTATTTTGGCCAGTGTTCAAATCCTCCCATTGCCGTTAACTGTTGGAATTTCATTAGGCCTTTTTCTGGATCATAGAATTACAGGGTGCGTGGAGGGGGGAAAGAAAGCGATTTTCACACTACATAACAGACATTATTACTTTACTCATCCCTAACAATCTTCTAAAGGGGTTGGAATTACGCAACTAGCTTCAGAATCGTTATCAGCCCTGCTAGGCCTCCCTGGTTGTGAAGTCAAGCCTCTGGAAACCTCTGGTCTGTTTTCTGTCTCTCTAAATTTTCCCGTTACAAAAATATTGTATAAATGGAATCATGTAGTATGTAACTTTTTTGTTTCTGGCTTCTTTCATATAGCATAATGCATCTGAGATTCAACTATGCTGTTACATATATTGTTTCTTTTTTATTGCTTATTAGTGTTTCATTGAATGGATGTACCATAATTGTTTATCCGTTCTTCAGTTAAGGGACATCCGAGTATTTTCCAGTTTTTGATTGTTATGAATAAAGCCCCTTATGTAAAGTTTTTCGTGTAAACATAAGTTTTCATTTCACTTGAGTAAATACTTAGAAGTGGGATTACTGGGTCAGATGGTAAGTGTGCATTTAACTTTATGTGAAACTGCCAAACTTGTTTCCAAAATGGCTGTGCAATTCCATATTCACATCAGCAATGTGTGAGAGTTATGGTGAGGTCGCATTCTTGCAAGCACTTGATATTGTCAAAAAAATCTTTTTAACTTTAGGCGTTCTAAGAGGTGTGTAATGGTATCATTAAAATTTTAATTTAGTTGCTTTCGCCGCCAGGGAGCCTTCCGGCCCAGCAGCCCCTGAGGTCCTGAGGTCCTGAGGTCCTGAGGTCCCCGCCCCTGCGGTGTCGCAAGAGAGAGCCGGCTGGGTCCAGAGCCGCGTGCGGAGTTTTCGGGCATGCCCCGCTGCTAGCTGGCTTTGATCCTGAAAGCCATGCAGCGTCCAGAGACTGCTGCTCCTTTGAAACGTACGATAGAAGCCCTGATGGACAGAGGGGCGATAGCGAGAAACCTGGAAAACCTGGGGAAGCGAGCACTTCCTTATAAGATCTTTGCCCACAGCCAGCAGCACAGCAGAGGAGGTTGGAAGCTGAGATCATTGATTTGAGGCCTTTTTTCTTTTGCTGCGAAGGTATTTCTTGGTGGATTTTTATGCACCACCACCAACTGTTGAAAGCATAATGGAGTACTTGTCTCGAGACATTGATGTGATTAGACCAAATGTTGTAAAACTCCCTCTGACTCAGGAAGTAAAAGAATGTGAAGGGATTGTCCCGGTCACACTTGAAGAAAGACTATTCCACGAAGAACAGGAAGTGAGAAGAGTCACCAGATTTTAGCCGTATATTTAATTCTCTCATTTTTGAGCACCATGGATTAATAATTTACAAGCTTGACCTTTATACAAGAGCGTGTTACAGGCGCCATTTGATTTTTTTAAAGGTATTTTTAGCTCTTGATTCTCTTTGCTGTGAGAGGTGGGGGAATGGCTTGCTTAGAGCCACTTTGTGATCTGGGGTACCAGCACACCGGTCTTGATTTTGTTTCATTAGTGTAATTTCTTTGTCAGTGAGGACTTTTGGCCCTACAGCAACACTAACACCATCTTGAAGAGGAAAACTGCGTGTATTGCCAGCTAGTCATTCAGACTGTGTAACCATGCAAAATAAAATAAGACCACTGTAAAAAAAAAATTTTTTTAATTTACTTTTCCCTAATCACTAAAAATGTTGGATAAATTTATGTACTTGTGTGCCACTCAAATACATTCTTCTCTGACAAAGCATCTGTCCAAATCTTTTACTGATTTTTTAAAAATTCGGTTGCTTGTTTTCTTACTATTGAATTTGAGAGTTCTTGGTATATTTTGGATACAAATCCTTTATCATGCATAATGTGATTTGCAAATATTTTCCCATTCTATGTCTTTTCTTTTCATTCTTATAAAAGAGACTTTAGAAGAGCAGAATTTCTTAATATTGATGCCATCCAATTTATCACTTTTTTCTTTTGTGGATTGGTACTTTTGGTCTTGTATATAAGAAATCTTTGCCTCACTCAAGGTAACAAGGAATTTTTCCCCCTATGTTTTCTTCTAGAAGTTTTATAGTTTTATGTTTTATATTTAAGTCTATGACCCATTTTAAGTTAATTTTTGCATAGAGTGCAAAGTATGGGTTGACGTTTATGTTTTGCATGTGGATATCCAATTGTTTTGGCACCATTTGTTGAAAAGAATATTCTTCTTATTGCACCTTTGTTGAAAATCAGTTTACATGTGGGACTATTTCTGGACCCTCTAGTCTGTTTCATTGATCTATATGTCCATATTTCTCCAATACCACACTTGTCATGACTATTGAAGGTAGTATAGTAAGTCTGGAATTCAAGTACTATGAGTCCTTCAACTTTGTTTTTCTTTATCAAAATTATTTTGGCTGCTCTAATTAGTTTACTTTTTCATACAAATTTTAGTGTTAGTTTGTTAATTTTGGCAAAAATTGTTGCTAGGAATGCATTGAATCTATTAATGAATTTGGAGAGAACTAATATTTTAACAAACTTAAGTTGTCCAATTCATGAACATGATATATCTCTCCATTTATTTAGATCTTCTTTGATTTCTTTCATCACTTTTTCATAGTTTTAAGCATACACATATTGCATATATTTAGTAAGATTTATACCTAATTATTTCTTTTTTATATTATATTGTAAATGCTACTTTTTTCAATTTCCGGTTGCTTATTGCTAGTATGTAGAAGCATGATAGATTTTTGTTTTTTGTCTTGGATACTGAGACCTTGCTAAACTCACTTATTAGTTGTAGTAGCTTTTTGAAAGACTCTTTGAGATTTTTCTTTATAGATAATCATGTCATCTGTGAATAGAGACAGTTTTGTTTCTTCCTTTCCAATATGTTTGCCTTTTATGTCTTTTTCTAGCCTTATTGCATTGGCTAGAACCTCCAATACAATATTGAGTAGGAGTAGTGAGAATGAATATCCCTTGTTCCCAATCTTAAGGGGAAAGCATTCAGTCTTTCACTATTAAGCATAATGTTAGCTGAAGAATTTTTAGATGCCATTTATCATGTTGAGGAAGTTCCTTTCTATTTCTAGTTTCTGAGATTTTGTTTTCATAAATGGAGGTTGAATTGTGTCAGAGAACTTTTTGCTTCTCTTGAGATATTCATACTTTTTCCTCTTTAATCTACTGATATGGTTAATTGCATATAAAATTTTTTGAATGTTGAACCAGGCTTTCATTCCTAGAATAAACCCAATTTGGTCACAAAGTATTATTTTTTTTATATATTGCTAAAATCAATTTGCTAATATTTAGTTGATGATTTTTGCATTTATATTTGCTCTTCTTATATATTCTGGAAGAATTTATATAGAATTGGTATTATTTCTTCCTTAAATGTTCAGTAGAATTCTCCAAAAAAGCCATCTAGGCTTGGAGCTGGTTTTTTATTCTTTTTTTAGGGTTTAAAAATACAATTCAATTTATTTAATAGTCATAGGACTTTTAAGGTGACCTATTTCTTCTTTGTAGTTTATGTCTTTTAAGAATTTTATCCATTTCATATAAATTGTTGAATTTATGGCCATATAGTTCTTCATAATACGTCCTTATTATCTCTTGAATGTCTGTGGGCCTGTAATGTTCTCCCTTTCATGCTTGACATTTGTAATTTTTGTCTTCCCTTTTTCTTTGTAAGTCTGCCTAGGGGGTTATCAATCTGATTGTCTTTTAAAAAAGAAACAGCTTTTGGTTTTATTGATTTTTTTCTCTATTTTTTTGTTTTTAATTTCATTGATTTCTGCTTTCTTATTTCCTTCCGCTTGATTTAAGTTTAATTTGCTTTTATTTTTCTAGTTTCTTAAGGTAGAAGCTTAAAATGATTAATTTGAGACCTTTCTTCTCTTTTAATATAAGCATTTAATGCTAAAAATTTTTCTCTAAACACTGCTTTTACTGCATCCCACAAATTTTAATATGTTGTGTTTTCATTTTCATACAATTCAAAGTATTTTCTAATTCTTTTTGTGATTTCTTTTACCACGGATTATTTAGAAATGCTTAATTTCCAACTATTTTGGGGGATTTTGCAAATATCTTTTTGTTGTTCATTTCTAGTTTAAATCTGGTATGGTCCAAGAGTTTACCTTCTAAACTACCTATTCTTTTAAATTTGTCAAGGTTTGCTTTATGTCCCTCAATATGGTCTATTTTGGTGAATGTTCCAACTGCATTTGAAAAGTGTATTCTGCTGTTGTTAACTAGAGTGTGGTATATATGTCAATTAGGTAAAGTTGTTTGGCAATGTTGTTAGATCCTTACTGATTTTCTACTTGTTCTAGCGATTGCTGAGAGAAGAATATTGAAATCTGTCTGTAATGGTGGATTTGTCTATTTCTCTTTTTAGATCTATCAGTGCTACTGATTTTGCTTTAGACAGTCAATTATCTTTTGGAGCACTTATAGAGAAGAAAAAGTGAATTTCATAACTACATCCATTTATTCCATTCCCAGTGTTCTTCATTCATTGTATAGATAGAAGTTTCTGTCTGCTATCATATTCCCTCTACTAGAAGAACTTCTTTTCCTTGTAGTACAGGTCTGCTGGCAATAAATCCTTTCAGTTTTTGCTTGTTTGAAAAAGTATTTATTTCTCCTCCAATTTTGAAAATATTTCCAGTGGCTATAGAAGTCTAGGTTGAAAAGATTTTCATTTTAGAACTTTAAAGATGTCATTCCATTGTCTTATGGCTTTTACAGTTTCTGATGAGAAGTCTGCTGAATTCTTATCTTTGTTCCTCTGTATTTAATGTCTTTTTTTCTTTGGTTGCCTCAAGATTTCTGTCTTCGGCTTCAGCAGTTTAAATGATATACCTAAGTGTGTGGGATTTTGTGGGGTTTTTTTGGTATTTATCTTGCTTAGCATTCTCTGAGCCTCTTGAATTTATGGTTTTGTATCTGTCATTATAATAGAGAATATATATTGAATGGAATATTACTCAGCCATAAAAAAGATGAAATCTTGCCATTTGTGACAACATAAATAGACCTTGAGGGCACTATGCTAAGTGAAACAAGTCAGACGTAGAAAGCCAAATACCATATGATTTCATTCATATGTGGAAGATAAAACAACAAACACACACACAGATGCACAGATTAGGTTGGTGGTTACCAGGGGCGAGGGGAGGCTGAAAGGAGTAAAAGAGCACATATGTATGGTGATGGATGGTAATTACCACTTTGGGTTGTGAACATGATGTAGTCTACACAGGAATCGAAATATAGTGATGTACGCCTGAAATTTATATGATGTTATAAACCAATGTTACCTCAAATAAATAAATAAAATAAAAAAAGAAAATATATATTGGTCTCTGCCCCTGGTCCTGGCACAGAGCTCCTGAAACCCTTGTAATTTCCTAAGTGAGAAAAGCACTAGGAGCATCTCTTGTTCTAATATTTGGACTTTGACCTGTTCCTGACACAGGACTCCTGAAATCCTTGTAAATTCCTAGTGATAAGAGCACCAGGAGCATCTTTTGTTCTAATGAGTGGGCTCCTGGATGGCTCCTGGATGGGGGCTAGTCACCAGAAAGACCAAGCCATGATTAGAAGCTTGGAATTTTGAGCCTCATTCCCCACTCTTGCAGAGGGGAGCGGGGCTGGAAATGGAGCTAATAATTGACCATGCCTATGTGAGGAGGCCTCCATAAAAAACACAATAGTTTGGGGCTCAGGGAGCTTACAGGTGGGTGAACACATCCAGGTACCAGGAGGGTGATGCACCCCAACTCCACGGGGACAGAAGCTCCTGTGCTCGGGAGCTCACCTCATGTGAGCTCCCGACCTCACCATATGTATCTTATCATCTGGCTGTTCATCTGTATCCTTTATCATATCCTTTAATAAACTGGTAAACATAAGTAAGTGTTTCCTTGAGTTCTGTGAGCTGCTCTAGCAAATAACTGAATCCAAGGTAGAGGAGGTCATGGGAACCTCTGATTTGTCCGAGTTGGACAGAAGTTGTGGGTAACCTGGGAACCTAAGGCTTGTGATTGGCATCTGAAATGGGGAACAGTCTTGTGGGACTGAGCCCTTAGCCTGTGAGATCTGATACTATCTCCAGGTAGTGTCAGAATTGAGTTAAATGTTAGGACACTTAGATGGTGTCACAGAGAATTGCTTGGTGGGGGAAAAACCCCTACACATTTTGTGACCAGAAGTGAAGTGTTCTATGTGAGTAGTCTATGGGGGAGACACACAGAAAGAAGAACTGAGGATTTTTCCCTACTCAGGAGAAGGAAAAACTGGAGGTATTTTCCAATACATATTAATTTTGGAGAATTTCCAGTTATTGTCTCTTCAAATATTTCTCTGGTTCCATTCTCTCTCTCTTCTCTTTCTGAGATTCCAGTTAGACATATGTTAGACTTTAATACTGCACTACAGCTTTTGGATGCTCTGTTCTCTTGGTTCCACCACACCTGACTTTTTGTGTTCTTTGCTTTTTTGTTTGGGTAATTTCTTTTGATCTATATTTAGGTTCACTGATTCTTTACTTGGCTGTGTTGATTCTACTGATGAGCCCAT